AGATTCATTTTTATTCGATTACAAGCATATCAGGATTTATATAGGGTCATATCTCAGGCTAAGCTAATTTTATATTTTCATGCATATGCACAGCGTCTGGCTAAATCAGTTTATGACATGACATATATCATATCACATGTATCACCCTAGATCCCTGCCAGTTCCGGCGAGTTTCTATACACAGCACCTTCAGTTAAATCACGAGATGATTGATCCTATAAAAAATTATACAGACTATCACGCAAATACATCACTTCGCATGTAGCATACAGTACATAAATTAAAAAAGGAGAAAAGCCCGATAAGGAAAAATTTTATTTGATAAGTATTTATAAAGCGCATCAGGTTAATATATCGGCAGGCAAAAATAGCCAAAAGGAAAGTGAACTATTTATTTTTTTGCATTTTGATTTCTCTGACCTGCAGGTCAGCGAAGTCACGTGACTGATGTAGTAACTATGCAAATTCTGCTTCAATAGCATCTATATCATCCCAACTTAGCTTGTAGATTTGTGAAGCTGAAAATGACTTTATCATATTAAACGGGTTGTTTCTTGATTTAATGTATTCTCGACATTCTCTATTGGATCCTCCGGCATTGTTGGTGAAGTTAGGAAAACATTTTCATCCATCAAGTTAGAAATAGTTGAAATTCCGTTTGATTGGGATGATTGTGAACCTCTCCTAGTAGAATTCAGATTTATGATAACATCGACATTCTTCCCATAATTGGAAAATAGACGCGCGTCTGATTTGATATGTAGAAGTTACTTCTCGATGCATGACCTGTGAAAAATATGGCCACATGATAATGTTGTAAATGCTTTGAGGGGGAATATTAAAATATTGTTCGTATATTTAGAATATGGTTCTAGCTCTAGAATTTCTTTATCTCTTACAAGACCATCATCAAGATTTTTTAGGATATTGTATCCCAGATTTCTAATATTCGAAAGAGAAGGACCAGAAGTACTTTGTTCTGAAGCTAACATGATGGAACTTTTCCCTCTACTAGAATCAAAAAAAAAATATACTGACCACATTTTATATCACTTATAAATTTCGTAGGAGAAACATTTCCCAGATTTTTACCAACAATTACGCATTACATTTCGTCATTCCGCTAATCCCTTGCAAATCGATAAAAATGACTTCATGATTAGCATAGATATCCCCAATCCCATATGCGAAATAATGATTGCTAAAAAAAATATCTATAACTGAATATTGTTTTACTAATATAATCATGTTTTTCGCGATACTTGTGATGCATGTAATAAGTTTTTTATTACTACGTTCTCCAACTACTTCTCTTCCAATTTTGCGACTCTTTCTCTAAGCTCAGCATTTCTTGCTTCAAGCTCAACTTTCTCATACTTGAGCCCAGTTATCTTGACCATGAGTCTAACATTTTCTTCTCTAAGTAAGTCAAACTTGGATTCCATAACACAAGCGAAAAAAATAATGCGAATATATATGCGATTCGCACATCGCATAGCCCTATTATTTTTCCGATATCTTCTGCGCATTTCAGGTGATCGGTTTAATCTCTTTTGCATAAGCCACTCACGTGATTCAAAAAAAAAAAATAATTCAGTATGCAATTCATCCAATAATTCTCCTAGGCGATTACCGGTGAGATAATAAGACTTATCATTGGGAAGGTTTTTCTTTCATATTTTCTGTCACGATAATAATGACCTCTATCACGTTCACGGTTCACCATATTCATCCACCGTATTATCATCGGAATCAGAATCATGGTCACCATCATCTGCATTAACAGGACCTGAAGAATTAAAATTATAAGATACAGGAATAGATTTGCTCACCTCAGCTGAAACCGCCTCCAATGCATCCTCATTTTTACTTTGACTTGGTCTATCATATTGGAGACATGAAAAGCCATATCCAAGACGGTTATTAATAGGCTTGGGCAGTAGCCCTCATTTTTTCTCAATAAATTGACATTTATAGTATTATTTAATGTATAAGAATCATTTTTATTTAACACAATTTTCAATGACAATTTCTTAATTTTTTTGATGATGTCATCCCTATTAACCCCAGCGGAAAAAATTGTTGTCTACTCTTTTATAAAATAGACAAACTAAATAATGCAGAGAAATAAACGTTATATTCTATCTTAATTCCAGATTTTTGCTCTGGAGTCTAAACTATCACGTTTTGTTGGTGAAGCCTTAACAGCACTTTCATTGATAAAAGATCTTCGTTGAAATTTACTCTTTTGTTTATACAAACTTTGAACAAAGTGATGAAGATCCATGACACGTTGCTGATGATAAAAGACAGATGTTAAAGTATTATTTACGATAGAAGCACTGCGATGAAGATAATTATTACCTTAAAAGTAAACATTATTTCTATAATATTTAAAAGTTCTGCCAATTGACCAGAATTATCGGGAATTGTAAATCCTTCAAATTGATCTACTAGATAAAGGTCGTCAACATAATGCATTGAATAGAAACAAAAAGTTTTTCCTACACAAATAAAAATTAGAAAATGTCAAACACCAATAAAATAATGAAAGTAAAACATGCTATGGATTATGTGGATAATTACTATAAATAAGAATGCCAAATGTTTCGGCTTTACAAATTCCGTTTTCATCGACTCCTTGTTTACTGAGTAATTTTCGTAATCGGAATAATCCGAGTTGCATCGCTGTCAAATTTAATGATTTTGTCAATTGAAATTAAAGAAAAATAAAAAAGCAGAACTATTTTCTACTTACACTTTAAAATTTTCTCTCGATCCCCTATCATTTTTTGATCGTCATGTATGCAGGCGTTACCTACGACTTCACAAAACCGATAATCAACATTGTTTGCCTTCATTATTAATATAGCGTCATGATCCCATCCAATGGAACGTCGTTGCCCTTGTGGTCTTGCAGAATTTTTCTGATCTTTACGATCTGTGTTTTCGACTTCACCCCTTGTTAGCAATAAAACTTATATTAATATTTGATAAATATTTTCAAGAGATAAGAGATCGCAAGAGAAAACCTACGTCCTAACACGAACAAAATTATGTGTCTAGAAAAATATCCTCTATAATACGATTAACAATCCTATCTCTGTAGGAATATTCGGATAAATCACAATCGTGAAGTGGGTTTATTGGTAGCTGGAAACACAGTAAACTATAATAGAATAAAGTCGATGTAGAAATTATCCAAAAAAAAAACGAACCAAAAATTACACTATCCTTACAATGCATTAAAAACCGATTTGATCCATTGCGTAGGCCATTCTCGAATAAAATTATATGTGTCACGATTTACAATTGAAGTCTCATCAAATAAAACGGGCAATTTCATCAAATTCACATCGTATCCGAACGTCGCATCATTGATGCCATTATTGTACTTCTTTAATAACGTTTTAACATTCTCGTTCATCCCACTACTGGAAGGTAACGTTTTCTTCTCAGCCTGAAAAAAAAACAGTATTAAATTAGTTTGTTAAAAATAATACAGGCATGATAAGATAACTAACATTAATCCAATCCGTTTCTAGTTTCGACCACTCATCTTTATTGAATATTAACTTGATTACATCACAATCGTTTTCCTCTGGCAAGAAGACAATTTTATATCGATCAATTCCACCGACTCCTATCAATCTTTCAATGATTGGATTCTACGACAGACAAGAATTTATTAAATGATGAACCTTGTGAACAAAGCAATATGCGCAAGATATCAGACCTCTGACAACGTCATATCTATCTCGTCAACTTCGATATCGTTTTGTCTTGATGATGTTGATGACTCATGTCCAATATTACTTTTTTTGATTCTCTTACTTTTATCTTTAGGCAATTCCAATGATTTTTCGACAACATTCAAAGAATCTTCATTATAATTCTCCCGTTCCTAGTCCTACGTTGCTTTTGTTTACCAATTTTGGAGCTAGGCTCATCATCATCGACCTATATGTTAAGAAAGAATGAAGCATCTTACCATTATTATGCAAGGCATTGAGCAATTCTTCTGTACCTCTTCCGGTTCTTCATCATCTGTCGTTTCTTCTCGATGATGTTTTCTCTGACGGTTATCAATATTTTGGGTTCCAGAGTTTCCGGCTGTTAAAATCTGGTGTTCTACCTAATTGATAAAAATATTACTAAGTATTATTATTATTTTGTAAAATTTCAGATCAGAATCCTAACTTGTAGCGTCCTAATATTAAGTGTTGTATCCGGCAACATTTTCTTTTTTGATGCAGTCCAGTGCTAATAAAATAACAAAATGCAAGGTTAAAAAACTAAATGCGTCGAACTATGAGTTCATCACTATAGACTAAGAGTCATAGCTTGCGCACAAGCGTCGAACTAAGAGTTCATCACTATAAACTAAGAGTTATAGCTTGCGCTCGAAGAGGGAACTAAGAGTTCATGACTGTGACTAAGAGTCATCAGCTTTCCTTCTAGGAAGAACTAAGAGTTCATAACTGTGACTAAGAGTCAACAGCTTTCCTTTATGATGAGTTACCTATTTCTACTTTAAATACTAACAAACATACTTTCCAGTAATCCAAGATTTCTTGAGCCTTTCTTTTTCGCGTTTCGTCCAATATATAATCTGAATTTGCAATCTTCTGTAGATCCTTTTTTATATTATCCAACAATTTCTTTCGTCCCTTTTGCTTATAAGTTTTATAATAATATTCTATTATCTTATCGCATGTCCAATCTTTTATCGCGAAAAAGCGATAGAAGTCCATGAGGAGAATCTAATCTTTGTCCATATATGATATATGTGTGATACGTCATTATTACGCGTCTACATACGTCGCACAGAATTATCTCGGCAGATAATTTTTCCGAATAGTACATATTAGTCTTGAACAAGTAGTATTCTAGGACATATTAATATATTAATATATTACCGTATAGCACTGACATTAGTACCCCCCTTTGCAAAATATCCCCCTTGAATAGTAACAGATACTATTCAATCACCAAAAATAAAATTTTTGATTAATACCGGGGTACTAATAAATTAACCAATTAAATTGATAAACATGTCGATCAAATTTATTGCAATAATGCTGATCAAATTTATCGCAATGATGTCGATCAATTTGATCAATTATAATATATTAAAAATAAAAATCAAAATTTATTATTATATTTTATACTTTATCAATATTAAATGTCATTATTTATTAAGTATACATGATTA